GACATTGTCGTAGATATGTTGTCCTTTGAGGAAGGCCTTCTGGGTGGAGTGTATGACATGTTCCATCACCGAAAGCAACCTGTTGGTTAGGGTTTTGGCGATCATTTTGTCTACCAAAATTAACGGGGTCATGGGTTTGTAAGTTTGTCTGTTTATTAATCATCTTTCTTATATAAAGTCGTGACGCACTATCTCCCTTGTCTGGCCCTCCTCCCACACTTTCTGATAATAGCCTGTTAGATAATTTGCAAAAAGGCTAAAAGCAGTCTTTGTGAGAAAATTGAATGTAGAGACCCCGAGAGAACAGGAATCTCCCATGCGGTTTCAATTTTAGCGAGAAATGGCCATCGTCGCGCGGGAAAGAACAAGCGCGCGGGACTTTCAAACGTTCGTTTAATCCAAAAAGTATCTTTGAACTTCCATACGCGCTACTCGACGTCTTTTTGAACGGAAAGTCAGGGGTACGCACGTAGGATCTCGTTTCCAAATTAAGTCTTGTGGTCGTTCACTACAGAGTTCGGAATCCAACGTGGAAGGTCGCAGCCTGGTAGCTCTTTACTTATGCTCGCCGTCTCCACGTGTCCGGTAGTGGAACCCGCTATCCCGATAACGCTTGGTGCGGTAGACAATCGCTATAGAGAGTGTTGGGCCAATGGGGTGCCACTGCCGTCCACAGGATGACAATGGACTTATTAAAAGGAAATAATAAGGAATAAGGCAGAAAATTAGTATCAACAATGATATAACCAGTGCCAACGAATCCTAAACACCTTGTTTCGGGAGAAAAATAATAACACCCTCCGATCTTTGCGACGACTTCTCTTACGTCTCACTCACATACATTTGTCCTTTCCTCATTGTACGGGAAAGGGCACTGTGGGGATACGAGAAGTCAGCGCTCAGTCGGATCGATATAAACAGTCCACATGGCATAAGTGAGTTGATTGTGCTTGTCTACTTAATCCGTCATTCAATCGAAATGAACAGAAAATAACACCAGGTTCTCATTATCCCGAAGTCATGACATAGGCTACCTAGAGGCGCGAGTCTGTGCAATTCAACCCAATTAAAAAAAAACAACTATCTAGCATTCATTCCAGAGAGGAAAAAGACAAGGATAAACCATTCATAAAAATCAAGTGCATGTAGTCAAAGATGAAGAATACGTCACATTATCCGATCATTCATAGACTCTGAGAGAGAAAGAGAGTGAAAGAGCATTGACAGAGTTGTAACTTGACCAAAGAAATGAACCAAGGAGAGAAGCAGAGTACCACGCTCGCATAATTGAAAGAAATCGGCGCTTCGCCGTGCACTTAGTTTCCAAAATGAGAAAAGGACAAAGAATAAGGCGTGCAGGCCTTCTGCTTTCATGCCATGGCCCTAGGCCATGCAACCACGCTGTCAACACACACACCTTCCTTAAGCGAGTACTGCCGATTCTTGCCACCACGTACTACCGACCTCCACACCATAGCGATCGTTACCCCACCGACCTGGTTTCCACACCGTCTTGCCCAGATCCTGCAGTCCGTTGCGACCACCCTGCGCACAGCCTTGCAAGACTACAGTCGGCTCGTTACAACTTCCGACTCGCTGATCATCACATCACCTAGCCACTACTTCCCGGAATCTGGCAGATGGGTTGAGAGAGCGATTTTCGAATGCGCTTGCGGATTTTATAGTTGCGAAGAGGGAGATAGAAGACGGGAGAGAGGGAAGGGGAGGTAGAAGGGAGAGAAGAGGAGATAGGGATTAATTGCCTTGGGAAAGCCATATTGATCCGCTTGAGTTCTTCGCAGCCAATCAGATCACAGTGTGGGGGGGATGAATTCTCCTTACATGTTGTCTGATGGCTTGAAGTCTCTGAGAGGGGATTGGTAAGGACTTCTTGTACGAGGATGAAGGCAGGAAAGGAGAGGGTGCGAAGAACATTGCAGGGCAGGACCAAGATTCAGATAAAGGGAGGGAACAAGAAGCGCAAAGGAAAACGGAAAGGAAAACAGTTACGGGTCAAGGGAAGAAGGCACGAAAGAGAGAAAGGTGAAGATGTTTTGGGATGCAGCGGGAAAAGGGGGAAGTTTGCATGCATGGCGCTAGTACAGAAACCAAAAGGCACCGCAAACAGTTACGCTTCGTCCATCCTAGCTCTAAATCTAGTTCAAGATTGAAAAATCCAAAAGCAATACCTGCACGCTGAATTAGACGCGCGGAAATCTTACGCGTATCCAGATTCCTTCGGAAAATTCACCGAGCTTTCCAAGGCGGATTTGAGAACACTCGTGAACAAGAAAGGACACTTCAGCGGGAAGTGAGCCCGCAAATTCCGGATTAAATTTTCCTAACTGTCGAACAAAATTCCTAGTGCACTTGCTAAGGAGCGCATAATTCCGACGTAAGTTCATGGATTTTTGAAGAACAACAAAGGAAATTTCCAAAATTTTTGAGAAAGCGAAAATATTATGAAGTGGGAGGTCCTCAGCGGCCATTGATTCCATGCATCACCCGTCCGTCAAAAAAGAAGGTACCCAAAAGCCTGTTAGAGATTGAAAAGAAAAGAATAGCAGAACCCAAGGCTTTGGAAGCTCATTCAAGCATTGAAGTTGGTACGTCAGAGGATTGTCCGCACTTCGTTCTTTGGGAGCGGTTGTTCCAGGGCTGTGCTGCTCTGGGGTGACAAGCCTGTTGTGCCGGGGGTGAGGAAGTCATCAATCTCTGTCTCCCTCCTGGCCCCTGTCCAGATCCCGAATGTGTGATGTGAACAGGTCCTTGTAGAATGCCCTTGCCACTTTCACACATTGTGGTGTGGAGGTGGACAGTGGCTGATTCGAGTCAATGGGATTTTGAAAGGCGTTAGTGCTCTGCCTTTCTTACCCTGACCCAGGCCAGGCCAAAGAAGGCAGAGGGCATTGATCCTTTCATCTGATGTCGGTTGAGTCTGCCTCTAGTTTTCATGTCTTGCCACCTGTAGTTTGCAAATTCTAGTAGTTATTATTCTCTAAGGGATTGAGTGTCTGCTGATCAGATTGGGATTCACCGTCTTGTATAGTGTGAAGAATTTCCATTTCTTGTTTGTATTTGTCTCACGAAATTGCTACTGAGAATTCTTTACATCTTCCGGCCAGGAACACCAGCCCTATTTTGAGCCAGGTGGTTGCTCCCATGGTGCATCAAATAGTATTCACACCTCCCGTTCTGTGTGCGAAGAAGTGATCATTTTGAGGGTGGCCTGAGCGCCAGCTCCAAAATTCTCTGCTATATATTTCTTTGCCTCTTCCTCATCACTCCTAGTCCCCAGAATGGCATCAACACGGAGGAGCCCATCAGGCGGCTGCAGCATTGAGTGTGACACAGCCATACCTACGTTGGGGCTGCACCTCCACTGCTCCCATTTTCCACCTGCCCTCCTTCCTTAGGGGGAGTACGAGCGTGTTGCAGAGGATGTGGGTTTCCTAGTATGTCCCCTTCTCCAGGATGGTGCGCAACTTATTGCGTTCATCTGCAAATGTTTGCGGGGTTGGCTCCCCGCCCAGCTCCTTTTCAGAGTGAGGGGTGTTGTGCATAGGGAGCAGAGGCCAGCCGGCGGGGGGGGGCGGGAAGGTGGGTCTGTGTCATATTGGCATGCCACCCGCTGTCCCATCTGCTGAATCTACTCGCCCTCCCTTCTGTCATTCTTAGGAGGGTGATGCAAAGGGTGAGCGAGTAGGAGGGGGGTCACCCATCTGGTGATATCTGGTGATACTCCGGTGATTCGGTTGTTGGAGCACCCCCAACTTCCCCTGTCGTGGTAGGGATTGGTGGATCCTGTGGTGTGGGGGGGGAGGGTGAGAGGCTACTCGCAGTGCCCTCTCCTGCTCTGGTGCTTAGTCACCCAGGGCGATCTGTAGACTTGGACATGCTGCACGACAATATGGTAGACTTGGACATGCTGCACGACAATATGATAGACTTGGACATGCTGCACGACAATATGTATGGTAGACTTGGACATGCTGCACGACGATATGGTAGACTTGGACATGCTGCACGACAATATGGTAGACTTGGACATGCTTCACGACAATATGGTGGAATTTCTGCAGGAGAACTGGACAGTGGGCGGCCCCCGTGGCCGGGGGTCGGGGGTCGGGGGTCGGGGGTCGGAGGCGAGTGCAGGGGTGTGCGCAAGGCTGTAGGGCTGGCGGCGGGTGGGGGCAGTGCAGGGGCGAAGGTGAAGGGGCGGGGCCGGGGGCGGGGGGGCGGGGGKGCAAGGCGGGGGGCGGGACTCCGCTAGTTATTCATTTTTTGGGTAACCGGGGGAAAAAAGAAAATTGGAGGGGGAAAAAAAGTGGTTCCCCGTATTTGTCCTCACGGGCAGTGCGGGGAAACCTTTTTTTTTTGGTCGAAATTTGAACCCTCCGCAGTCCCCGCACCCCTGGGGCCCGGGGGTCGAGGAGCACAACCTCGGCTCAATCCCCGAACATCCCCACGTGACAACGGAGACTGCCAGTGCACGGCCCAGCCTCAATGAAAAAGAAACTCGTCAGCTGGCGGCGCCAGCCAAAAGAAAGAGAGAGGGTCGACGCGATGCGGCTTGCTGCGCTAATTTTCCGCGGAACTCCCACTGGGAACAATGGCGGCGACTCGGTGAGGCGACGCGGCGGAGCTTAGTCCCATTCCTCACAGGGCTTGTCGGCCTTGGAAATACCGAGGCTGCCAAGCCCGAGCGAGGCTACTCTCACCATAGTAGCTATGATGCGTTTTCACCCGTGGAATATTCGGGGGACAGAGTTGGACTTGGCGCTTAGATACGGGGTAGCTCTACGGAAGTGGTCATCAACTCTGGCGACGACCAAGGAGAGGACGAAGCCTTGAATGACGACGGATGCTATTTAAAGCCCTAGTGGCTATGGTATAACCACGATTCACAAACCTGGGTGGGGGGATTGGTTTTACCCCTTTTTTCGAAGCCATAGACAACTCACGACTTATCCTATGCTATTAAGAGCGTTTGATTAAGACGAATCAATTGTAATTGTTGTGTTAGGAGGAATTGATAAGTTGTGCATGACCAAAACGACGGGTAGAACGAGGATATGGACCAACCCACTACGAGTACGGCGAAATCCCCTCCAGCAATGTCGGAGGAGGAGAAGGAGCGGATTCGGGGAATCCTATCCAAGTGTTATACCGATGGGGTTCTCCCGAAGAAATTGGCCCCAAATATCGTGGAAGTAGGTGACAATTTCGTGAAGGTAATTGTGAATCCGGAGGTTTGTCGGATTCAAGCAGATTGGCTCCGAGAGCATGCGGTGTCAGTATTTTTTGGTGACGACTCCACCTCGCTGTCTATTGATGTTAAAAAACGGCTCGTTCGTCTTTATGAAAACGGGTGGGCTTCAGAGGAAGCACCATTAGCCCCCCCAAAAGGGGCTTGTTCCACAATGAGGGGAGGAATCTCGTTACCTACGTGGCATCTGCCAAAGAAATAGCTACCTACATGCATCGGGTACGGGAGGCTAAAGTCACGTTAGATAACAAGCGGTACACCATGTCCTTTCGGCCGTGGATGACAGAGCAGGAGCTCTGGGAGTGGCGGGAAGTAGCGAGGCATAAATTCTTTTGGATAAGATGCCAGTTAGTTCCCGTTGCAGCGCTCGTTCCGCTTCTCGGCGCAGTGGAGGATGCCTGTGGTAAAGTAATCAGGTTTTTCCCAGCGTATAAAGACCAAACCTCGCCTGACCTAGTCAACATTCGTTTTGACTTGGAGTCGGCAGCGAGGCTACGGTACAAAAGTTAACTGGTAGTAGACCTGGGGAAAGATGGATATGTAAACATAGAGGTAGTTTGCGCCTCTACGCCATGGTGTCCCCATTGCAGACAACACTTCCATTATGAAGATGACCCGGATTGCCCGAAGAGAAAGGGAGCTTCATACGCGGACAAGGTGAAGGGCAAGGGTAGAGGTAAAGATCCAGAACCGGCACCCGGTCCGGGGGTTGAAAAAGTTAAGGAGGGGGAAGGTGAGGGCACGGGGGAAAAGAGAAAACACCACTCGGGGAAAAGGCTAATACGCCAGATCCGCCCTTCCCCACGAGTGAGAAGGGTAAGGAGGGGGAAGGTGAGGGCACGGGGAAGAAGGACATGGAGAAGGAAAAACAGTCTTCAAATTTGAAAGAGCGGTCAACAGGGGCGGAGGGTTCACACATGGAAATCGACGAAGCAGGAAAAGAGAAAGCAGGAAACGAGAACGGTGTGAAAGGGAACGAGGGTGAAGACACACGGGATGATATGGAAGAGGATAAATGGGCTGGAAGAGAAAAGCGAAAAAGGGAGGAGGAGGAGGATCAAGTGGAGAAACCACATGAAAAGGATGGAGCAGGAGAAGAAGACGATGAAGAGGAAGAAGAAGAAGGAGAGGAGGATTCTTTAGATGGAGGGTACAACACTCTGAGTGATGAAAAGGACCTGCAGGAGGACGACTCCTTTTCTTGGAGTGAAGGAGAGGGAGAGAGGGAAGAGGAGGAGGAGGGGGCAATGATCGACCTAATGGCTATGACCGATGTCCCAAGTCCCTCCAAGATGTATGACAATGTAGCATATGGGATGGTGACCCCAGCCAAAGAACTTGGAGGGTCCTCCGCCTCGAGACAAATAAATGGAATCTCCTCTCCAGAAGAGGAATTTGCAGACTGTCGAGAGGCTAGCCTAAGCTCAGATAAAGAAGAATCGAAAGATCAACTACAGTTGAAGCCACAAAGCGTCGATACAGGCACAGTGGGATCGCCAATCAAAAAGGTAAAAGGCATGGTAGGAGAAGCAAAAGGAAATGGGAAACCAAATTGCAGCTCATTCGCAGGTAAGCAAGCACAAAAAAACAAAGATCAATCAAGCCACCTGGCGAAACAGCTGTCTTCTGCGCCACCAATGAAGACGATCTCAAGAGTAGACAAGGCCAAAGCCTTATCGAGGGAGTTCAATGTACCGCTCATCTGTACCATGTCACAGTATGGTCCCATGATCCTGACGAAGTTGGACAAGAATGAAATGCAATATCTTATATCTCTGGCCTCGAACGGACCGCTAACGGACATAAGATTGATAAAGGAAATCGGGACTAAAATCTTAGCAGGTTGTTGTGCCTATACTATTCTCCCTTAACCGAAAAGAGGAAGAACGGCCATGAAAGTTTTCAGTGGAGGAAAAGTCATTTTGCATGTTTCCTTTGTGGTATTAAAAGGAGATGCCAACTCGAGACTGAAATTGAAAGAACAGCGGGTCCATTGGATCCCGCTGGCTCACTTTTTGGATGTCGAAGTTGACACATTAAAGAATGTGGAAATCACAGAAGAGATATCGGCACAGGTAATTACAGAATGGATCACGCAACTCAACCTTGCAGATACTCTGTCGTCGGTACCCTTCGCAGAATCCCTGACGAAAGACCTGGACCCCCCTGATGTCTGCCAAACCGAACTGCATCCAACTCCGACGCGGAAGGGACCCTATAAATGGTCCTTCCGCCAAGGATTAAATTTTGGGACATGGAATGTGCGTGGGTTGGGCGATAAAAATAGGAAACGCAAGAAAGCAAGATTGAAACAATGGATTTATTCGCAGAATGTTCAAATTATTTGTCTGCAGGAGACAAAATTGAATGAGAGTGAAATAGGAAATAATTTAGGTTGGTGGCAGGGCCCGCAGTTGTGGGCCCCGACGCAGGGATCCAAGGGTGGTGTTGCAATATTAATAGATGAAAATCTGGATATGGAGGAACTCGATAGATTTGTAGATCCAGAGGGTAGGATCGCATGAATCAAATTTGCTATAGGAGACGAAGATTGGTCTGTGAGGGCTGTTTACGCACCGGTGCACTATCAAGATAGGAATAAATTCCTAGCGGAGCTGCCCGCCTACATGCCGGACAAAGATAATCTGTTAATCGTCGGGGATTGGAATACGATTTTCAACCCAGACCTAGATTCCTTGAATATGAAACCACTAAGAACTGACTCATTGATCTTGTCTCAGCTCACAGAAGCCCATCTGCTGTCAGATGTTTTTAGATTGTTTAACCCAGAATTAAACGGGTTCACATGGTATGGGCCCAAACCCACGAGAACAACCCCGGCTCCTAGGAAAAGACTGGATTTTTTTATGGCACGGGGATCACTTTGGGACAGAGCCATGTGGTGCGAAAATAGCACGGGCACTCTATCAGACCATCAGGCAGTACTAATGGATGTTCTGGCTAAGGACATGGTTGAACGCCATCGCCCCCCTTTTAGACTCAACGTACAGATTTAAAAGGACAAAGGGGTGATACAAGGATAAACACGCATATGCAAAAATGGCAAAATGCTAAGCAAATACAGAGACATGGGCAGCGACTGGTCTATCAATAGTTAAATCAGCATTAATAGAGTTCTCAAGAATAAAGACGGTCAATCGCTCGTGGAAGGAAAAGTCTCTAGTTAAAGCAATAAAGGAAGCTGAGGCAAAAATGGGCGCAGACCCATTCGCAGACTTCTTTTGGACGGAGAAAAGGAACGTCCTACTCTCTGAGTTAGAACAGTTAGAAATTCAGAAACAGGAAGAATGGCAGGAACGTTTGAGGGTTAGAGGTATTATAGGATATAATAGAATGACGAAAATGATATTTAGATCGTTGATGTTGCGCCAAACCAAACCGCTCGTCAGAGAGTTATGCCACCCATTTGCCATTAATGCCCCTGTCGCTACGGATACAGTGGACCTATGCTCATATGCTCTTGAGTACTATAGAGACATAGTGGCCACTAGGAGACCGTATGACCCTCCGGACACTGATTTGGCCTCCTTCTTAGACTTCTGGGAGCCGGTAGTAAAGAAGATCTCAGCAGAAGCTAGAGAAGATTTGGACAAACCTATGTCTCAGAGAGAAATTTGGCAAGCTGCCAAACAAATGGCTACAGGAAAGTGTCCAGGCTTAGACGGCCTTCCGATCGAATTGTACCTATCCTGCTGGGAGGCCTTCGCCCCTTTTTTGTGCGACATATACAATACAGCGTTGGAGACAGGGCGCTTCCCCCCCGGCTTTACTAAAGGAATGATTACTTTGCTCTATAAGAAGGGCGACAAAAGACAGGTCAAAAACTGGAGACCGATTTCCTTATTGAATGTAATCTACAAATTATTCGCTAAGACAATGGCCCTTCGTTTGGCTAAGCTGCTTCCAGATCTAGTCGGGTGGGAACAAGGGGCTTTTGTGCAGGGGAGATCGATATTTGAAAATATAATCGCCACTGTACAAGCACTGGAAATTATACGCAGAGAAAGAAGAGACGTGGCAGTTTTACTCCTAGACATGGAAAAAGCCTATGATAAGGTAGGCTGGTGCTTCGTCCACACGACATTGACGAAATTGGGGTTTGGCGAGGCCTTTGCCAGGGCAATCCAAGCAAGCTCGGTGGTAGTAGTCAATGGTAAACTATCAAATGAATTCAGTCTCTCCAGGTCATTGAGGCAGGGTTGCTCCCTGGCCCCCCTTCTTTTCGTCATACAATTAGAAGTGTTGTTAGAAAATATTAGATCAAGTAGTTTAATTAAAGGTTTGAAGCTGACTTCAGGTATCGAATGGAAAGGGGGAGCTATCGCGGACGACCTAACCATCGCATGCGAGAACTCCCCAGAGGCGATGTCCGAACTTAGGACAGTTTTGGAGAAATATTGTGAGTTGTCAGAGGCTTCGATAAATTGGGAAAAATCAGTCTATTTTCTCCCTCCACCTAAGGTTTTGTGTGTTGATTGGTGACTGAGACAAATCCCCGCAAATTCGGCTGACCGTTTTCTGGGAGTGCAAGTTTCTTTGACGGACTGTGCAGGAGTGCAAGACTCACTTTTGGTGGAGAAAGTTGCGGCAAAAGTGGCAGGCTGGGCGAGGAATCATAAGCTCTCGCTGTACGGAAGAGCCTTGGTCCTATCCTCAGCTTCCCTCTCACTGCTCTGGTACCCGCTGACAATTCACCTATTGGGGGAAGAAGCGTACTCAAGTATCAAGAGATGTGCGGCGCGGTACTTATGGAAACCGGCGGCATCAGAACACCAAGGATACCTAACTAAAGTGGCCTGGGACTTGATTACGGCCCCTAGAGATAGGGGTGGTTTGGGGGTATTGGATACTGTTCAACAAAATAAAGGGCTACTGAGTAAGTGGGTCATTTCAGCAGTCTTCGGGAACAGATTAAAGTTATGGGTCCAACTAGCGGAGGATATCTTGGTGAAGGAATGGAAGCTGACCTGTGCAGCACATGTATGGGTGTGTTTGTTTATCCCTTCACTTACAAGAAGAAAACCGAAGTCCAGGACCTGGAGAAATATTTTACGAGCCTGGAAGGAGATCTCCCTACCCATCAGACCCCCCCTGCGACCAAGCACGAGATTTTGAACCAAATCCTGTTTGAGAATGAGTTCATAAAACAGGAAGATGGTTCTTCCTTCTCTGCAGATGGCGGCAGGGGTTCCTTTGGTCGGCAATGGGTGCAACGGGGAGTGGTACAGGTAAAGGATATTTGGGATACGCAAAATAAGGAGTGGCAGAGTGCGGAGTCAATACGAGTAAGACTAAGACATATGCAGAGCGTCCCCGACAACCTATACAAACTGCAGCAATCAATACCTGAGTACTGGCTCTCCATTTTGAAGAGTAAGGGAGAAAAACCACCAGACACGTGGTGGGAAGACCCGGAAGATGCTCGAGGATTCTGGGCCCGGAACTCGACCAGGGATAGAAGTGCAACTTTTGAACACTTGAACCACAAGGCTGGCTCCAAATTGAGATATGTGGGAGAAAAAAGTATTCACTCATCAGAGGAGCTCCAGGAGGTAAGAGTGTGGGCGCCAAGATCAGAGAAAGCCGGGAAGCTATTACTTACTCGCTCTCCGGAGTTGCTTCAAGTGGAACCCCTACTGTACGGGTGGAAGGACACAGAGGTCTTGGGAGCCCTTTCTCCTGTACTGTTCTACAAAACTAAAACAGGAGTGAGAGTCTTACAGGCTAAAAGAAAGACCCAAGCCATTACAACGGCTAGCGAGAGAATATTGAAAGAGCCCGGTTTCCAGCTACTAGGCAATATAAATCTATATAAGCTATGGAAGGCTTTGGCAAGGATTCCATCTCAGAAACAAGCAAGTATCATGTGGACTCAGTCGATGTCGGTCACTGCGTCTGCATCATGGCTAGTCTCCAGGGGAATGGAAATAGATGAAAAATGTTGTAGATGTAGTTGGGGTTGGGAAACGAGCAGTCACTTGTGGTTGTATTGCCCCCTGTCAACCCAGTTCTGGGACTGGTGGAAAAAACATTGGAGGAAGATCTCAGGAGATAGTTTTCAGTGGTCGTATGAATGGATAATCCAGGGATTATGTCCGGAGGACCAGGACCTTCTGAGGGGCTGGGGGTACGTCGCGCTGGTTTGTAGAGGTGTAGCAATGGAAGTAATCTGGAGTGCCAGAAACAATCTGCTTTTCAGAAAGGAATCCCAGTCCTTTCCTGAACAGACAAGTAGATTTTTTGCACTATTACGACGGAATATTTATGCAGACTGGCTGAGCGTTAAGCAACATCAAAAGGGAAGTCTGTCTTGGTTTCAGAACACCTGGGCCACAGAAGGCAGGCTGGCGTCAGTCTCAGCAGAAGGCAAACTCTCACTTACCCCTTGGTTGTTACAAGGAAGAGTAGAGCAGGATTAGAATCGAGTTAGGTTCGCAGGATTGACGAGGGTATAGTTGGTGTCAGAGAAATGTGAATTGTTTGAAAGACAGGGAGAGTGTAGTACTGGTTGTGTAAATTAGAAGTAGCTGTAAGGTTGCAGGACGCGTATAAGATTCCAGTGATTAGAAGAGAACACAGTAGCAGTTAGAAGGTGAGTTTTGGTTTATTAGCTTATTCGTCTCAATTTTGACAAGGTATTTTTACAAGTTTGATAGCAAGAAAGGACACAGTGAAGGAGTAGTAATGGGTAGATGATGTCCAGCCTGGGGCTGTAAGCTAAACCGGCTGATGCTGCCGGGATAACTCCGGGTTGAATTGTGAGGTCCCCGGCCTCCGTTATTGGTTGGTGTAAAAAAAAAAAAAAAAAAAAAAAAAAAAAAAAAAAGAAGAAGAAGAAGAAGAAGAAGAAAGAAAGAGAGAAGGTGGGGCGCTGGCGATTCGGAAAAGCTTGGCGGGTAGTAAGGCAACTGCAGGCCCGGGGGCCAAGTCCCACTAGCGGTGAATCTGGGCGTGTTTGTGGCGATGTGCGGTTGCGGAAACTCGAAGCCATTTCTGCACATCTCCACAAACACGTCCAGATTCAGGCGTCGAGGTTTCCTCAGCGCCTGCTAGTAGGACTTGCCCCGGGTGCTCAGACTGACCAACTTTTTTTTTTTTTTTTTTTTTTTTTGAAGTCGCAGTTTGTATTATAGAAAATTGGAGAACTAAGGCCGGGAAACCAACTTTGACAAATTACTGTCGAAGAAATCAGAGCGACGAATTTAGACAAATTATTGTCGAACAATTCATATTGACCAATGTATTTTTCATCTATCATTACTGAAATCCGATAATCACATTGAAATCCGCAACCCAAAATTCGAAATGGAAAACTAAAAAAATAAAAATATCGAAACGGCAAAATTTAAACTAAGGCTCTGACAATGGTAAAACGAGAATCGATCCACGGCAATTGCCGAGTCTAAACGTTAGAACTACACATTTTAATCCGCTAAATTAAAATAACATTGAAATCCGCAACCTAAAATTCGAAACAAAAAAAATAATAATAATAAAAATCGAGTTCAAAACGAAAAAAAATAATAATAATAAAAATCGAGACGGAAAATTTAAACTGAGGCTCTGACAATTGTAAAACGAGAATCGATCCACGGCACTTGCGAAGTCTAACCGCTAGAACTAGAGTTCAAAATTCCGGGACTGGAACATCAGAAATTCTTTGGATTGGTCTCTCCACAGACCAGTTCCGTATTGGTGGCTGAAGATTCAAAAAACGAAAAAGAAAAATCGGCGGAAGAATCGTTGCACAACAATTGCTAAGTCCAAAATCTGAAACTGGCGTTTAAATTTCCAGAAGTGAAGTATTACTAAATTAGGAACTTTTTGGATTGTCTCTGCACAAGACAGTTCCTTCTCGGTGGTTGAAAATAAAAAAAACTTCGACGCTTGGGCAACCAAGGCCATATAAGTTAAACTCGGATCACACACACACACACACACACACACACACACACACACACATACATTATGTGCAAGAAGCCATATGATGAATGGGGCACTGAACGAGAGTAAGAAGGAATAGTCCGAATACCAATGACCGCGACCTTTCCCGATCAACCAACCAATATACGAATCGATTATGAGCTGAAAGCCTCCTACGCCTGACGTTGATACTCTCACTACTACTGCAACCTCCTACCAAGCTGAAAACCTCCTACCGAGCAACCCATCTGCTCTTCTCTGCCCAAGCTTAATTGGCACCTCCATTCCATTCGATTTCGTCGTCGTCTTCTAAACTTCTTGCAATCAGTATCCGTCCTGATCGGCATTAAATAGGCAACGAAGCACACACAATGCTTAGTACACGACGTCGGGCAGTTGTTCCCCTGAGATTGTGCCCCATCCTGAGAGCGCAGGGCATTTCCACTAATTAAAATTCGTTTCAGAAGAAAATAATTAGCAAAGAAAAACGACTAACACTACAAAACGAAACAAAAAACGGACGGAAGTTAAAAACTGGATCATGTAGTAGTATTACCTACCGGTAGCAGTAGTACTACTAGGTTGAGAAAAAAGGGGGAGGTCGAGAAGCCAGCACACTGTTATGCGCGGGCGCAGGCGCAGGCGCAGCGAACCATTCAAGACAATCCGACAACCTGACCTGTCACACAGTCGATGTCGATGTCGTAGAAGCAAGGTCGCGTGGGCAATCCTGGCATCGTGCTCATCGTGCCCACGATGGGATAAATGAAGCCAGCGCCTACACTTGCTCTCACCTCCCTGATGGGCAGAACGAAACCCGACGGGGCTCCCTTCAGAGCGGCATCATGCGAGAAAGAGTACTGCGTCTTGGCCATACAGATGGGAAGTTGTCCAAACCCTTGTCGTTCGTAGATTGCGATTTGCTCCTCCGCCTCCGGAGAGTAGGAGACATCGCTCGCGCGGTAAATCTTCGTGGCTATGGCGGCGATCTTCTCCTTGATGGACAGATCCAGCGGGTACAAGAATTTGAACTCCTCCGATCCCGACGACGACCCCGATTCCCTCTTCTCTCGACAAACCCTCTCTAGCGCCAAAGCCAGCTCGACGGCGCCTTTCCCGCCCTCCGCGAAATGACTGGTAACGACGGCCTCGTTCGCGCCGGCGGCCAGCGCTTCTGCCCGCACAGCGTCCAACTCCTCCTGCGTGTCTGTCCCAAACTTGTTGATAGCCACGACGACGGGCACACCGAAGAGCTTGGCGTTCTCCACATGACGCGCGAGATTGCAACAACCCTTGCGCACGAGATCGAGGTTTTCTTCGACGTAGGCGCGGTCCAGCGGTCTTCCCGCCACAACCGGCGGTCCGCCTCCGTGCATTTTCAAGGCGCGTACCGTGGCCACCAAGACCGCGCAGTCGGGCTGCAACCCGCTGTATCGGCACTTGATGTTAAAGAACTTCTCGAGTCCGATGTCGGCACCGAAGCCCGCCTCGGTGATGACGAATCCGCCATCGCCGACGAGCTGAAGAGCGATCTGATCGGCGACTATGGACGAATTGCCGTGCGCGATGTTGGCGAAAGGTCCGGCATGAACGAGAACCGGTGTCCTCTCCAGAGTCTGCATCAGGGTGGGATGAATGGCATCTTTCATCAAGACAGTGAGAGCACCTCCGACGCCGAGGTCGTCCGCGGTGATGGGGTCGCCGGCCTTGCTCGTGGCTACGACCATTCGTCCCAGTCGCTCGCGCAGATCTGCCAGGGAGGTCGTCAGCGCGAGAACAGCCATGATCTCGCTCGCGACCGCGATGTCGAAGCCGGTCTGGCGGGTGAAGCCCTTCTCGTCGGGCCCCTGGCCGACCGTGATTTTGCGCAAGAACCGGTCGTTCGTGTCCATGACGCGCTTCCACGTGATGCGCTCGGGATCCATGTCAAGGCGCGCGAACTGCCGCTTCTCCTCCGCCGTCAGCTCCGCCGGGTCCTTCTTCTCGATGCCCAGCTTCCGCAGTCTCCGCATCATCACTCCCGCGAAGGACCGCTTACCGCTCTTGTCCGCCGGGCACAAGCGATTAAACAGGGCGGCATCCGATTGCGTGGACTCATGGAACATGCGCGCATCAATGGCCGCCGCCAACAGATTATTGGCTGCCGTGATGGCGTGAATATCACCGGTCAGATGCAAATTGAACTCCTCCATCGGGATAACTTGGCTGTAACCACCGCCCGCGGCGCCGCCCTTAATGCCGAATGTTGGACCTTGGCTAGGCTGGCGAAGACAAGTGACTACCTTCTTTGACAGATGACCACCTAGGGCTTGACACACCCCGACGGTTGTCGTTGATTTGCCCTCGCCAAGCGGGGTGGGACTAATGCCTCCAACAACCACATAATACCCCCTTCCCCGCTTCTCGCTTCCAATGCGGTCCAGGACAGATAACTTCACCTTCGCCTTCGTGTCGCCATACAGCGCAATGTCTTCCGACTGCAGTCCTAATGACTCCGCGATCTCGCTGATAGGAACCGGCGTCACCGACTGCGCGATAACGATATCCGCCGGAGTGGGCGATACGATCTTCAACTCATGATTCCTCACACTTTTCCCCATTCTCTCTCTCTCTCTCTCTCTCTCTCTCTCTCTCTCTCTCTCTCTCTCTCTCTG